TCGAATGAGCGTCTCTCGATCAACTCTCGGCAGCTCGCTCCAACTTTCCGCTACAGGCGAGAGCGTTGCAGCCCTCTCGCTCTGACTCAATGGCGCCATGTCGTCTCCCCTTTCTCCGGAAACCGCGCCGGTCGTGTCGGCGACGGGCCGCTCGCGTGACTGCTCACATGACTCATGCGGAAACTTTCCTTTCTGGGGTTCCGTCGACCCGCCGACAAGGTCACTTGAGAGTTCACCGCATGGAACCAGGTCCAGCTTCCGCGAAAGCTTTCGCGCTTGCGATCGCGTGAGGGCCATGCACGCAAAGTTGGGGAAGAACGATTTGCCCTGCTCTTTGAGGAGCTGCTCCGAGTTGTTGGAGAAAAGATAAGGAAAACGATCGTTCAGCGCGGCAGACACAGCCGCTTCGGTGCGAAGCTTACCGAACGGGCCTTCAATGACAACCGTGGCGATTGGTAAGCGAACACTCTGCTCCTCGATGACTTGCCTGATCCACGCGCATTCTCCTGTGAAGTCATCCGGAGACACCAATGAAGGATGGACAACGTCCATGGTTGCCGCTGAGTCTCTAAGTGCTCGGCACGTTTTCTCATTGACCCTAATTTCTTGGAGATACGGCTCCAACAACCGAATGTTTTTTTCTGATTCTCGGATCGTTGCGAAGGCAAACTTTCCTGACAGTTTCTAGCGATGTGCCCTTCCTTTTTACAGTTGTAGCAGATTAGCGGCTTCCGTTTGTTTTCCGATTCAAATGCCTGTGTGGTAGAAACCTCACTCGATTTCTCCGCTTCTGTTTGCCCTTCCCCTACACTGTCCTTCGTAAGAGACGGGTCCTTTTTGAAATTACGGTGCGGAACGGGTTTCCGTTGATCAGGTTTCCTTGAAAAGCCCTCTTTCCTTTCATCCTTTTCAACGCGCACTGCCCTGCTGTGCAACTTTCGGCGAGTATAATACTCCTCAGCTAACTCAGCTGCCTTGTTTAACTTTACTTCCCCAAGTCTGTCCTGCAGCCAAAGTTTGACATCCTCCTCGATGCAGCGGTAGAATTGCTCCAATGCAACGCATTCCACCACTTTATCGCGGTCGTCATAAACACCTTCGCCCTTGAGCCATTCAATCAAATCGGCTTTAAGACGAAACGCGAAGTCAACGTGTGACTCATTCCCCTTTTCAGCATACCGGAACCTTTGCCTGAAAGCCTCGGGTGACAACTTATAACGTCTCAAGAGCACTTCTTTAACCTCGTCATAGCTCTCAAACGCTTCCCTCGACAAGCAAGTTATCGCGTCGGACACTTCGCCGGGAAGAAGAGCTAGCAGGTTCCGCGCCCAAAGAGACTGCTCCAAAGCATTTCGCTCACAGACGTGTTCAAACTTGACGAGATACTTCGCCATGTCCTCGCCTACTACGAACGGTGGCAGTTGATCCCGAATTCTAATACCGCTGACCTGAATCGTCGGAGAAGCTGCGCTAGGCGCCTGCGAACACTGTAGGATTGCCAATTCTATTCGTTTCATCTCGAGGCGCTCCTGTCTCTCGGCCTCCTCGCGACGTTCGCGCCTTTCAGCTTCTTCACGTTCGCGAGCTTCGCGCCTTTCAGCTTCTTCGCGAGCTTCGCGCCTTTCAGCTTCTTCACGTTCGCGAGCTTCTCGCCTTTCAGCCTCTTCACGTTCGCGAGCTTCTCGCCTTTCTTCACGTTCGCGAGCTTCTCGCCTTTCAGCTTCTTCACGTTCGCGAGCTTCTCGCTTTTCAGCCTCCTCGCGGCGTGCTTTGATATCCACCCAGGCCTCATCGACTTCCTCAGCCGACACTCCCTCATCCTTCATGATCTCAAGGATCGCTTGTTTTCGTTTCGCACGGCCCAAAGTAATGCCGAGTTCCTCACAAATTTCGATGAGTTCCTTCACTTTAAGGTTCTCCATCGTTCACACTAGCCTCTTGCTGTTTGCCCCTGTTAAGAATTTACTTGCCGTACCCACTAAAAGTCTACTAGCAAGACGCGCAAGCAATTTTTCACACTCCCGTGTTTACCACCTCCGCATTAACTTTGGTTTCAAAGCACTTCAACTTGGCTTGAAACGATCAAAGCTCACTCTAATGCTTCACACAGCCCTTCTCTAAACTACTACAACCTGAGCTAGAGTAGTCTGGTGAACTGAGGGGAAAACATCAGGCACTCACCGCATCGATGTCGCTGACGCCGGCCGATCCCACCGCTGCCAACCACTGTTGCGTAGCGTATGTTTATCAGCTCGCGACTGCTTCTGCGCAGAGCTGATAAGACGAGCGGACGAGACGACGGTGAGTTAAACAAGGTTTATGTACAGCATATATACAGAGGCGTTACAATTTCGGCACTGGGGCCGACAGAGACTCGAAGAGCCGAGCTCTCCTCTCTAATACATAGGTCAACTTTTCGCCTAAGACCGCCGACTCATACACATGTCGGCTCTCCGACATGGGGACTCCTCTCTCAGGACCGCCGATCGCGACGCGCCGCAGGGCTTCTTTTATTTGCACCGGGTCCAACCAAAATGTCCAATCAGAAGCGCCGCTGGTCGTCAAGGCAGATTCCTCCAATGGGGTCGCCGCGCCATGCGTCAGACCACCAGACACGAGGACGCCGGCTCGCTGTCACGTGCGCAGCTGACTCAATGCACGTGGGCCAGAGATGCGCCGCGCGTGTTCACGCCGTCGAGTTGTTCGCGCCAGGCGGACTGCGCGCTGGCCTTGACCCAGATTGCCTTTTTCAGAGGCACGGACGTTTGACGAGGACTCGCTGGCATAACAACGTTCACCATTTCGTGGTCGAGGTGCATTAACAGGAAAACCACGTAGTCCTGCCTGGCGGTAGTGGCACGTTCGGTAGAGATGACCAGGCTCCCCACAGTGGTAACACAGCGGTATCCTGTCGGGAGTGCGCCAGACATCGCTCTTCCTTAGTCTCCTCTCTGGCGTTGGCTGCAGGGTGCTCGGCGGCATCGGGTACTGCATAGGTGTAGCCGCCGCGACGTCTGCACGTCCTGGAGGACCTCATAGTAGCACATCAGCATACGTCATTCTCGTCTTCTGTTGTAGTGGCGGCCCTGGCTGTGCGTTGCTCGAAGGTTCGCGTACCACCTGCCTGACCTCCTCACGGATCACATCGGCCAGAGACGAAAGCATTGGAGCGTTCTGGTCAAGACGCTGCCTCTGCAGCTCTTCTCGCACAACAGACCGCACCAGCTCGCGTAGTGCTTCCATGCCGTTACCGAAGGCTGGTGGCAACATGTCCAAAGAAGTGACGATCGCATCCCGGTTGTATAACCTTGCTCGCTCTTGTAGCGTCCTTTCCATTGTAGTAGCCTCGGAACGAAACTCGGCGACGGTGCGCGGCGGGCTTTGAATTAGTCCGGCAAAGAGTTCTTGCTTCACGCCTTGCATCAGATGGCGCAGCTTCCTGTCTTCGCTCATATTTGAATCCGCTCGGCGGAATAAGCGAGACATGTCTTTCACATACATGGCGACAGTTTCGTTATTGCGCTGATTTCTTGTCTGGAGCGCAGCTTCAACTCTCTCTTTGCGGTCTGTGTTCGGGAAAGCAGCGAGCAGCTCCCGTCGAAAATCATTCCATGACCGGAAGGTGGCTTCGTGGTTTTCATACCACGTTCGTGCGCTATCTTCCAGTGCGAAGTAAACACTTCCAAGTTTGCGCTCTTCCCTATATCCGTTAGCCTTTGCGACGCGTTCAAAGTGCTCAAGCCAGTACTCTGCGTCCTCGTAGCTTTCGTTGTGGAAAGGCTTTGGTAGCATTGGCTAGTTTACTACAATGTTGGCTGGAGTGACCTGAGCTGTCATGTCAGTTGCGTACCCGTTCACAGCCGTTGATGTTCCAAGCGAAGTCGATAAAGGTGAAAATTCAGGACCCTCACCACGTAGGCGTCGACTGCAGCGCTGATGAACAGGCGTCAGTCAGCTCGTTGGGTCGAAATCGCTGTGGTTCTGGACTGTGCTCCGTCACTCGAGAGGGGCTTGGCATCACACCCAGCACTTCCACCAGATTTGTAACGCACTCTTCAATAAACCCTTTTAATACGCTAACGTACGCTGGGCGAACTTGTGCCCGAGAATAATAGCACAGCTCGATTGTCTCGAAGATTCCCTTCTGCCTCTTCTTCTACGTTCTTCTTTTTTCCCAACACGGTTCGCGCGCAGCTGGGTCCCGCAGGCTCGTGCGTCGCAAATCATCTAGAAGGCACAAGTATTTGCTAGCGTGCGTCATTTGAAGTCACATTGTGTCAATATATAGAGAGCTCTGTATATGTCCTCCTTTGTCTGGTTTCTCGTTTTTCCCAATGTTTCCTTCCTGTATGAAATGTCAGTTTTTTTTTTACAATTTGACAATTGCTCTGGGCTATTGCTCGTGATAACCACGTCACATCGCTGCAAACATGGCTGGTAAAAGTAGTGTTCACTTCGATGTAAGAGTTCAGTCAAAATTATGCTGACATGACAGAAACTGCAGACGCTGAAAATGAAAGTATGTGCATTAGCTAGCTATAAATGTACGTGTTTCTATTTGTGAATGCTGTACACAAGGGGGAAAGATGGCAGTACAAAAGCCGTATAACGGCAACTTGATTGGCAGCAAAGTGTTCTTGGTTGACTTGGCCTTTTGCCATATTCACCCTACCTAGTTGTAAGCTGTGATTACTCGCGCTACAGGAAGGAGACATTGACACGTATCCGGTACGACTCTGTGCGGGTGGAACCGGAGATAGGCTTCTGCATGAGCAGTGCATAGAGCCAACCCCTTCAAATCTCACTTTTTCAGATGTTGCAAGGCTGCAAAAAATATGTATATAAATAAATCTTAACAAATAAACTTTTAGAAAATGCCTGAATTAAGCAAATATCTATTTGCTAACCTGTTCACTGTGTGCCAAAAAAATATTGTGCTTTTAACTGCCCCTCAAGAGCTCACAGCTGAACAGAACTCATGTTTCTTCGTGTGTACACAGATGCGCTGCTTCCACGAGTGATTGACTTCATCCGCGAGTTCCCGGTGTTTCTCCAGACAGGTGGTGCAGTGTGCCCGCAAAACTGAGCTGGCACTGTGGCCTCATCTGTTTGCGTCCTGTGGGGAACCCCAAGGACCTCTTCCAGGAGTGCCTTCTGCAAGGACAGTTAGGACACGGCCGCTTCCTATTTGCTGGTACGGCTCACACTCCTTGTACATTAAGCCACATATCTTGGGTTCTGGTTTTGTTGTACACTCGAACCTCGGTATAACGAACCTGGATATAACAAAATATTGCTATAACGAAGTAAATGAAGAATAGGCCTTGCAATAGACATAGTGTTAAGAATATACCTTTATAACGAATTTTTGAATATAACGAATTCATTTTCATGCAAGATGCAACTTTGTTATAACAACAAGGTTTGAGTTATGTGCTTATTATCAGCTATGTGGTTGAAAGGTTTTGCACATACTTGCATGTGATGTAGCATAGCAATTCGAGGGTTTGGAAAGTCTTTGTGTGAGGAACTGTTCTTTTTTTGTAGATAACTATTCTTGGGAGCTACAATAATTACTGGGTAATATGTATTCATTGTACAGTTTGTCATGTGGTAGCCGTGCACTAAACAAATTCGTCGAGTCCTTTGGCAGTAGTCCTTCTGGAAATGTGGTTATGTTCAACACTACGTAGTATACTGCATATTGAGTGACCTGAACATTTCGAACACAAAGGTGTGATTCACTGAAAGCTCATTGTCTAAGCTTGTGTGAATAGTAAATTTTAGGCTTGAAGCGAATTGGAAGCGAATAGTGATCTTGGTCGAACAATATTGAATTGAATTCGAATAGTACATATGACATTTGAAGAAAAATGGGCATATTTATTATGACCCAGCTAACCTACAAAATATTTTTTAAAAATTGAAATAGGGCCTCCATACAAATGCCAGTTTCTTTTTTTTCTTTTCAAGAGAAGTCAAAACAACTTTAAATAGTAGTAGTAGCAGGATTTGACTTTCGGCAGGATGCAAATCATAACCCTTATAATATGAAATATTTTTAGGTTTATCATACTCGGAGCATATAAGCCATCATAATAAGCTTTAAAGCTTCATAAAATGAATTGATTTGAGGGTAATATTTCTATTTAAAGAAGCCGTATGACACTTTTTCAAGGAGCCATGGTATGAATTCACTAAAAAAGCTTATTGCATCATGAATTCACCGCCCCCAAAATTTTTCGAATCCTTCCAGTACGCGCAGAGCTGCAAGTGAATATGCGCAGAGCTGCACAAAAGTGCTCAAAGCCAAGCCGGGAGGGATATCACGAGGAGACAAAATACGTCACGTGTGCTTTCTGAGCTTGTGAAGTAATTTGCAAAGAGAGGAGAGCAATTTTCAGTTGACTTTGAGAATTTGTTGTGAATCGCACGCTGCGTGCTGCACTATAACACGTGGCTTGCGCGTCCTTGGTAGCCTCGACTACCGATCGGCAGCGTTTTCTTACAATGCTCAACAAGTGTTGCAGGGCCCCTTTAAATTTGAGGGAGGGCTTCGCGGCAAAGTGGATTTCTTTCGGATAGGTGTTTTCACGGTTTAGCAGCCCTACACCTTAGTGAAACCCCCTTTACAGGCGGTACATTCCGATTATTATGTATTTATTCGTTCCTTGCGAATACTTCAAAATTTTCAATAATTTAAATTTGAATCGAAGCGAACTCGAATATTCTACTATTCCTTCAAATATTCAAAGCATTCAAATATGCACATTGTTTATTCCTTTTTCTTTGCCATCACTGGTCACAACTGGTAAAATCAAATCGCTCACACAAATGTGCGCATGTCAGAAGGTGAAATGAGAACTTGCTCGGCAAGTTTGAAAGAATTTTTATATATGAAAAAAAAACAGAGGCATTCCTCGATGCGGTGCAGGTTCTGCAGAACTTGGAAGTGCCTCTTGTCAGCCGTCAGCATGCGACCCTGCTGTTGGGAGCAGCTCTCGATGGTGCCCATTGGGTCCTGGCGCGCGACTTGGTGCGCTTCTTGCGTGCCATCAACCCCGAAGCAGACTGTTCGCCTCCGCGAACCTCAACTGGTCCTTCAACGTGAGTCACCATTAGCAGAACATGTTACAAATTTAAGAATATACTCGTTACTCTGACCACCAAGTACTTCGTTCCAATACGTACATGTTTTAAAGACCGGTAATAACGACAGCGATATGAGCTTGCCAGCACTGACTTGCTTTGTCTCGACTGACAGTAGTGCAGGTAATGAATCGGAAATGCTTTAGGAGATTCATTGCGTGTCATTTGATTGTTGAAATGTGCGCCTGCAGAAAACAAGACATCTTCACTGCAACACAGTAGTGACACGCAGGCAACATGTCGCCTGCTCCTCGCTGCATCAGCACGTCATGATGCGACCATTTGCACATTCTTTCTACTATAATTATGAATTTAATGATGGCCAGTACGACGAAGCTCACGATGTGTTTTGGACGAAAGAAATAATCTTTGAAGCTTTCAAACTTAGTTTTCGAAGTAGGTGTTGCCAGCAAGAACTCCGCCAGCAATGCAAAGACGCAAATGGCTGGAGCAACCTGCAATCGGAGGTTCGCATACATCTCGACTTCCGCTAAACTGTTCTTTATTAATTTCTTTACAATCCCAGAAAGAATGGCTAAACCATGACCCGCTGACGTTGCGAGAAACATGCTGCCCGCGTGTCACCGCTGTGCTGCAGTGAAGCACGGCTCGTTTTCCGCAAGCGCACGTTTTAGTTGACCACGAGACCGGTTTTTTTTTTTCTTTTTTTGTGCTAGAACTAGCAAGACTGGGGTGCTTCAGCTGCCACTCATTAGTATCGATACGTTGAATTGTCTTGTAGCAATTAATAGCCGTCGTTTTCGCGGATTCGTGGCGAAATCTGGATCTGGAACTGGCACATGGCACCCAGAATTTTCGAATTAACCGGACTGGTGCCGACCGCCGCTTCAAATTATCCACTAAAATACGGGACCGCAGAAATTCTTTGATTTAAGCTGGATTTCGAAATAACCGAGTTCAAATTAACGAGGTTTTACTGTACTCGGATGGACTAGCGCAGATTTACAACTAAGTTTATTGAAGATGTGTAATTGACATTAACCCTTTCACTGCTGGGTTTTTGGCTACTGCTGGCCACTCTATGACAAGTTTTTTCATCTGCTTGTTGTACGGAAATTTTCTGTTAGCGATGCAATAGTACACCGTTAACAGGCATGTCAACATTATTGGGGACCATCTCATCAATATATAAGTACTAGTACTCACTCCAAGCAATGGATTTAATGAACGAAAAATAATTAACTTCTAATCAATACTTACCAGTTAGTTGTGAGCCACTGAGACACTAACTATTCATTTTATTCGGAGTCCAAATTAGGCAAGTGCTCCTAAATTTCTCTTGTTGGCGCACGCATAGGCACACTGACTCAGCTTGGCTGTGCTGCTGAGACGCTGGCCAAGCAACTTTAACTGACGCTTGTGTGCGAGCATGCACTTCTTCTGTTATCGAAAATTTCCGTGCGTGTTATATTTATTGGTATGTTATGGAAAGGCAGAAACACGCGCATTTTTTTTTCTTTACATGAGCGGTCTTGCAAGTGGCAGGAAGTGATCTCGAAAGGCAAAACGAGTATACTCGATATCGGCATGTGTTGTAGCCCTAGTCAACTATAAATTAACAATGAAAGGGTTAAATAGGTGGTATTCATCCCAGTTAAGACATTGCCATAGGGGTTGAGATTGCAGTAAGTAAAAAACAGTGAAAAAAAAAACAGTAGCCTTGACAAGCCTTGTAGAAACATTGGTTTTAAATGCCAGAATCATTAGAAAATTTGTGCATTCCCTGGTGTAGCATATTACTGGATGTGTGCTGTATTTTCTGACTACTTTTCGCACAGCTGCTTTCCAATGTGCTCAGCACACTAAAAGTCTGCACCTAACTCTTTCCTGAACATCTCAACACTTAATTTCACTGATGCTTCCCTGCAGATCATCCACCAGGGACTTGGCCAGGATTTTTTTTTCCTAGGGGAAGAAAGTATCGCCTCTTTAAATTCGTGTGTGTACGTATGCATGTGTGCAACATAATGCATAATACAGTGTTGTGTCACTTGTGTGTTATCCCTCCATCTGCAACCTACCTGCTACTCTGATAGAGTAGCTTGTGCAGGACGGCAGTTCATCAGGCAAAACACGAAAAAATGTACCTGGTCTGTTGTTATTTCACCCGCTAGCACAATTAGACAATACCATTAATACGAGCTAACTAGACGTCATGTACTTCAGATCTGTGTACTTGATCTTGAAATTAATCATTGAGCATAACAGTCATTGAGGCCATGTGCACAAGAGCTTTGTGAAATTTTAGTGTGTCTCTTTCAGGGATGAGGACACGGTGAACCAGGTGTTTATGGAAGTCATTCTGACACGGCATGCCCGCAAGCTGCTGGGAGCGGGACAGTTGCGCAAGCTTGGCTCGTTTGCGGCACACCTCGACTTCCCTCTCCAGAACTTCCTTGAAAAAGAACGGTGAGCTCGCACTGCAGTGTGCGGCCTCTCAGATGCCCCGGTAGGATTGTGGAACTGCAATGCTCGTTAGTGAACGCAGGGAAAAGGAATTACTGTAACTTCTATACATTAACAGTTGTTGTTGTTGTTCTAGTGCCACCTAATTGCACGATTACTCGGGCTCTAGAGAAACACATTTCGCGCATTTGGCTTGGGGTAAACATCGTGCACAGCTGACTGTGTGCACTCGTCAGGAAGATTCATGGGACTTTCCCATAGTTGCTGTCCCATTCCCTCGAGTGCACCCTGTTCATTGCTTGTAGGAAAGAGTAGGTGTCAGTTTTTGGCAGAATCGGTTGCTCTATAGTTCGTCATGGAGAGTCAAACTTCCTAAATTCCTCAACATGTTTCAGCGACATGCTACATACCATGTGTAATTCTTCTATGTGGCTCACTGTATAGCAGGTGCAATAAGTGGTATTTTGTGTGGTTGCTCTGTTATGTGTTGTGTCTTTGCTATTAGAGACATTAGAGCCCACACCCTTCATGCTGCCTGTTCTAGTGGCTCTGGTAATTGGGGGAAGTTGGAGCGTAAGTGCTGCAGTATCTAGGCAATAGCACTAGCCACACGTACGCAATTGCGTTACGTCATTTCCAGGCTGCGGGCGGCCAAGGTCGAAGACTTCGTCACGGCACTCAAAGCAGTGCACACAGATTTCGAGTGGCCGATGCCGGCCAGTCCTGTCACACCGGGGACCAGCCAAGTTGGTGGTGCGGGAGACGAGGAAGCCACGCACCCCACCTCCATTGGAGGTCAACCACTTCGCAACGGAGGTATGGAAGGCGCAGTGGTGACGCGTGGCTCGCCGGCCGACTCGGAGAGCACCTCGGAGGAAAGCTGGTGGCTCGAGGAAGACGAGGCAGGACTGCACGCGGCCAGCGTTGCCGAGCCTCGAGGCTCGCCACAAGTGGAGGCCCAGGCCAGGTACCTGCTTCACATACTGGGACAGGTGAGCAGAAGTTTCTTTAGCTCAGCTTGTACTGACCTGCTTATTAAGCTGGTGGTGCTCACCACAATGGGAAAACATGTGGCACCCTCTCAGAAACCTTCCCCACCAACAGCTGACATGCACCAAAGAAATACTAATTAAAACTTAGTAAATGTTCTTTATGAGGATGGAGGTTTGAACTAGGGACCCCTCAGTCCAAGGGTGGATGCCTTGACCACTAGGCCACACACCCATGCTTGGCCATTGTGAACTGAACTAAAGCATACCAATGCGATTTACCGACGATGCGAAAAACTATTCGGAAACAGTTTACCTTCAGTGGGCACTTCATTGACATATTTCATGTTGGTGAACTACAAGCGATCTGCTGGAGAATGTGTAAAGAAGGTCTGCGGTATCAGTAATAGCACAAATTAGGAAAAATTCCAACTTCCAGAAACTTTAGTTCTAATCGATCTTTTCATGTTCTTGTGATGGTCTTTTTATTCTGGAGGCTCACTGATCCTGGAAAGAACATAAAAGAAGCGATGCCATTTCAGCCCAAAAACAGCGATTCGAGAACAGTTGTTATCAGTAATAAAACTGAAAGCTTACGTCAGGAGTGAAAGAACGCTTATCTTGAAGAGTAAAAGAGAAAAGCAAAAGCAGTAGGTCAGGCATGTTTTCCGCCAAACTTCACTTGCCCCTCTCGGAGAAGAGGGGACGGGAGCTCTTCCCTAATCTGTAATACAATACAATAAAAAAAAATCTGAAGCTTTTCCCTGGTATGGGACCTCCCTGATCTGTAATACAATAAAAAAATTCAGCTCTTCCCTGGTGTGGGAAGAGCTGATTTTTTATCGTATTTTATTGCAGATCAGTGAAAAGCTCCTGATCTTTTGGAAGAGGGGGGACTCCTGAATTTTTTTTTTGTATTGTATTTCAGATTGGGGAAGTGCTTGTTTTTTTTTGTATTTGTGTTGATCATGTTCAATAATCCTAGTTGGTTGAAATTAATCTGGAATCCCCCACTACGGAGTGCCTCACAATCATAATGTGGTTTTTGCTCATAGGACTTCAGAAATTAATTTGACTTATGGTTTAACTATCGGTTTATTTCAATTTTGCCTTCTTTAGTACATTTGAACAGAGATATATTGAATCCATGGGAGATCATAAAAAAAAGATCTGTATACTAGTAATTCAATGTATGCTCAAACCTCCTTATAACAAAGAAAGTCACACCTGCCATGAAAATACTTGTTATATCCGAAAATTCGTTATAAACATATGCTTGTAGCAGTGCTCTTATGACAGTCATTTTTCACTCTCTGTTATAATCAATAATTCGTTATATCCGGGTTTGTTATGTCGAGGTTTGAGTATAAAATATTGTCACGTAGCCCAAAAAACTATATCGGGTTTGTATAGTGAACTTTATTGGAGCGATTTTGTGCTCTGCAGACGACTCAAGGTAAAATGCGAATAATTAAGCAACAGCCAACCAAGTGGTATGTGTGCACAGGCAAGCATCGATATAGAACGAAGGTCGTGCATACGTTTCTGCAGCCGTTTTTATATCCATGTTTGCCCTTGGGAAAACGCTGGATGGAAAAAACAGTCACCTCGTGACGGCAGCTACCAGGTAGAAGTAACTTTATGCCAAGATGACGGGACGAAACTCTGTCCCTATCAGATCAGATAACCTGTGTGTATTACAAGAGAGAAAGAGGAGAGCTCACACTTTGCTTTGAACATCGATAAGACAGCCTGGTGTGGTCAAATGCTAGAAACTAAACACTTAAGGAAACGAACCAGAAGGCATGGCTCACAGCAATATTTATAGAGGGTGTCGCACGTAACTTTAGCCAGAGTTTTAAAATATGCCGGAACACGTAATTTTGACGCGACAATATGCATGTTGCTCACCGTTGCCTGGAGTTAGTCAGACTATTTTTTGTGTTCTCAAATATTGTTTAATTAGATCTGTTTATTTAACTTTTGAAGGAACGAGGATGGATAAAAATTTTCAATGAGAAAGTTGTAGATCGGTTTGCAAAACGTCCAAATAGATAGTTTTGAGCTTTATATCTGTTACGTATTAGTGTTTTTCTGCTGATTACAAATGCCCGCGAAACACAAAAAATACCACGTGACAAACCTGCTCATGCGTCAGTGCGCACAATGATTCTAGTGCTCCCTAACGTTCTGCGTATGAACGGCGTGCTTCTCTCGCACCGTTTCATGACGGCGATAAACAGTCGCAGCAGTTATCGTTTTTGTGGCCAATAGCAAAACGTGTTCATCGTAAAGCCACCGCCATTGTTGCGGCCCTGCAGAGACAGCATAATGGGGCCAATGCTATGGTCGTTCATACACGGAACATTAAGAGAGCACTAGAATCATTGTGTGCACTGGCGCACGAGGGGTTTGTCACGTGGTATTTTTTTTGTATTTCGTGAGCATTTGCAATCAGCAGAAAAACACTAATACGTAACAAATGTAAAGCTCAGAACTATCTATTTGGAAGTTTTGTAAACTGATCTACAACTTTCTCATTGAAAATTTTATCCATCCTCGTTCCTTCAAAAGTTAAATAAACAGATCTAATTAAACAATATTTGAGAACACAAAAAATAGTCTTACTAACTTCAGACAACGGTGAGCAACATGCATTTGGTCGCGTCGTAATTACGTGTGCCAGCATATTTTTAAACTCAGGCTAAAGTTACGTGGGACACCCTGTATATGGGAAACATTTACCAGGGTATTTACAACTCTTCAATGTATACAGTAGCTTGTTATGCGTGAGTTCATTGTAGAACAATTGACAGGGCAATGGGTTAGATGCAGACAGAAAGAAGAAAAAGACATAGCAGTGATTTTTCTGTCCGAATCTAACTCCTTGCACTTTTAATTATTCTACGATAAATATCCACCAACTAGTTCAACTTTGTGGGTTCATTATATTGTGAGCGCAGTCACCGACTCTTCTTTATCAATTGGACGTGTCATCATCATTTGTTTAATTTCCTCATCTGTAGATATCATCATCAGTGTGTGCCAGCTTGAGCTCGCCTCGAATAAAGCTCTTCCTCATAATATGCGTAAATAACTGTAGTATCAAAGCTGAAAAGTGGAGAGTGCAGTGTGAAGAAAAGTTTACCATTCTAAATCACTTCCTTTTTTTTTTTTTAGCTTTCACCTAAAAAGCTTACTTCTAGCTAATTTTTAAAACTATAATAAAAATATTTACTTCTGCACAACACTTCACAGTTTACCACAGATTTAAACATCACACAAGTTTTAGCAGCTCTTGCTGCTGCAGTACTCGTGCATCAAACAAAATTAATGGGCCTTTCAAGCTTGTGCATGTATTCCTTGTATAGTTGTGAAGTTTGAAATTGTGAAGCTCCTTGTCTACAAGAAAGTCTCACTAGTGCAAGGAGCCGTATTGAGAGTGATGCTGACTTGCTGTACAAAATGAGAATCCTTGCTTTGTGCTGACACTTATGCCGGGTTACTTTTTCAATTCCATCTGCATTTAACGCCATGAATGTTAGTTGTAAGTGCTAGAGCAGAGTACGTTTTGCAGTGCTGTTCTGTTGCTCCCAACCTGGTTAGCGTTCATTTTCCCAAACTCGTTGCGATCATTGTGCAGGCTCGATGCTGCGACTGGGCTCTGCCCCTGGCTCTGATGCTCGGCGACACCCTGGTCGCACCACTGGTGGCTACTCCGGAGGCACTGGACAAGCTGATGCAGTGGGCGTTGGCCGAATGGTATGCAGTGATGGTTCTGGCCATTTTTTCCCACTACATGGTCATTTTTTAAGCTCATCTATGCAGAATATGAACATTGCTCATCAAGTACTGAGGCCCAAGTATTAAAAGCTTCTGAGCAAAAAGTATGGCTTGAGTTGTCTGTCCAAGATAGCAGCTTCCAGCCCTGTCAAGTGCATTACGTCCTTGTGGTTTACGTGCATTACCACGTAATGGTCTCGTGTAACTTCTTTACTACGCATTACTTGTATCCGTACATTTGTTTTGGTATTGCAAAGCTCTTTTTACCTTGGCTTCTCTGTTGTCCTCATTACAGTCCGGGTTATGTGGGACTGCTGCGGCAAGTTCAAGGACGTGGGTCGGACACACCTTCCTCCAACGGTGCGGTTCAACGAAGCAGCCCCATGGAGGCCCGCAGGATGACCGCTGCCACCACCGTCGTTACCGAAGGACCAGAAGAAGGGTGCCGTGTGTCGTAGCGTCCCTGACAAAAGCCATGTAGGTACAGTGCCAAGACAAACCAAAGGTGCTGTTCATGCCAGTGGGAGATGGCCATGCTTCAATTTGGGTGCCGGGCAGGCGGCGTGTGACTACGTACTCTTCCGCAGCTAGTGCATGAAGGTGTCGGATAACTTTAGTCGGGTGTGGAGGCTGACAGAATCTGACTAGGCAGGCTTGAGCCTTCCATTAAGAGACTGGTAGTACAGTTGAACCTCTTTATAAGAGGCACTGATATAAGAGACAAATGGGTATAAGAGGCACCAGTGTTCCTACAGTAAAATACATAATGATAGGGAAATGCATACGAGGTCCCCTGCTTATAAGAGACACCTCATAAAATACAAGAATTGCTGCCCGGAGCATGCCTCTTATAAAAGGTTTTAACTATATAACCATTGCAGTACGTAGCCTTTCCTGCAGACATGCAGAGAAAAAAAAAAGAGAAAAGAGAAGGCACTTGTGGATTGGCACGGCTCTATGGTTAGCCAAGTACCTGGTACAAAACAAGCACTACATCATCGTTTAGGCATGCTGAAAAGGTGCAATGCATGAGACTTGTTTTTCTAGCCACACCTCGCATTTCACGGGACGCCTTTATGCAGAGTAGCCGAATTTCAGTCATGTCGTCATCCATCAGAGCCCGTGTCTCGCACACTGTGGTGAAACCAAGTACTACTGCGTGGGCATGACAAACTTGCAAGCATATCTCCGGGAAATGTTAAACGCGGGCTTATTTTCTCTCGCTGTCGACCAACTTGGTAGACAACCTGCTTTCAACGAGTCGGGCGCATGGTCTTGTCACTCGTTATAGACCTTCTCAGCAGCATAGGCTGGCCCAGATCATATGAGCTGCCACTGTCTTGCGGGCTTTGTTATTGGTTCCACCTAATCGTACGCAACAAAACTGCAGTGCAGCATTCTCCAGCCAAGTCTCGCTCGGACCACAGAGTATCGTACGGCTGTGAAAAAAATATCCTACGAGGCACCACCAGTGGGCTCGTATTTCAAATCTCCTCCTTGTTGTGCATAGACCTGCACATTACCTTCAGCGCTGTGACCGTTCTCCCGAAGACAGAAGCCCAAGCTAGCTAGGTGAACTGATTTTAGTATTTGCTGATTGCTTTATCTGCCTTAGTTCACATTCCTTTCGAGGCATCAAGTAAACTGCGACGAAGTCGGCGTTTTTTTGTTTGTTTTTAACTGTGTCGTTTGGCCCTTTTTTATGAAAGCAACTGTGTGTGACTCTGAGACTGCTCATTCGACGACGTGCCGTACTGCGATGCCTGGCCTCGAGGAACTACGTACTACCGTACCTTCCATTTCGTAAGCAACCATGAAAATCCATCTAACTCGAGAGTCGTGTAAACAAGGGAAATGTGTGCAAAGAAGAAAAATGAACAAGTCCTGATATTGTGGGTAATTTGTAGCATATAGGTGTGGTGAATGTTTCGAACTCATGTACAGTATACATAAACAAATTTGTTTTTTAGTGCTTTGTCCAAGTGTGAATCATTGTGCAATTTTTTTAACCTTTCGTGTACTCGGACACTGGAACCACAGAAGTGTAGAAGTCTTACGATGTTGTGTGTAATAGTGCGTGATAGGTTACAGGTAATTGCTAATTACCCACTAGTAATTTGCACATTTGGGAATTAGACCTGTGTAATTACTCACGCACAGTAAGTGATCACAATGCAGGCCCCTTTTTACAAAAGAAAACAGCTGAGAATATTTTGTTAAAGATTACCTCTCTGCGAACACCTGTGTGCCAGCATTCGAATAAAGCAGGTAGAATGCACCTAATCATCACTTGATGGGCACTGTACCTTCATAGAACAAATGTGTTCAAACTGTCAAACCACCAGATTGGGCGTTTTCCGGGCAGGTAGTTAGTTCGCGCATGCCAGCCGGCCTCGAGGAAGCAAGTGCCACGATTTTTGGTGGCCGAAATGTGACAACACGTGGAAACCAAGTGACACATGGTGCCAAAAACATGCAAATGTTTGCCCCCAAAGAGAGGCGCGAACGCAGGCCTCCGAGATTGCTACCGGCATGGGGTGAACAATTTCGTAGTCCAAGGTCCACCAGTTTTGATATCGGCAATCTCCACTTGGGGTGCTGTTTGCACTAGGAAAAGGCCCATTGCTGTTTAGTGCAACATTGTAGGAGCCTGGGTTGGTTGGTATTGCATTATAAAAGGAAAACTTTTTTTTTTTTGTGTGTGTGCAAAATGCTTCTGTCTTATCTCAATCTTTCCTAAGAAGTTTTGCACACACAAAAAAAAGGTTTTTTTCTTTAAGAATGCTGTTTATTCAAATCTGTTTATTCAAAACACAGTACTGTAGCAGCACCATTCTGTGAAAAAAAAAAAAAACACTGAATGTACACTTTTAGCAAAGAAAAAGGCAGTGTTTTATTTGCAAGCACCGAGATACAAGCATCGCAACATTGCAAGCAAAGCCAGCAGTGCAGTTTTTTTTTTTCACATGATTTTTTTCATTTACTCAAGGCACGTTTTTGGCACACACTTAACAAAACAAGCACGTTCACACCAACAGAGTATCCCGAATGAACAATTGATTTTCCTTCTATTTATGAATCTGTACTTATGAAGGGACACCCTGTGTGAGCAGGTAGGTGGCTGCAGATAGAGTACACTCATAGGTTACACGGCAGCGTAACATTTTTTGTTTAAAATGCATTATACAAGAAATGCTAAGAAATAGAAATGGTTTGAAGTCTATTTACAAGCATCTGCTGGTTAGCACGAAGTCAGCTGCGCCGAGAAGCACATGGAAAGCTGTCGCGATCTCATTATTACTATGCTTATTCAACTGCCATATTGCTGCGAGAGATTACTTTGTCGCAGTCTTGGAATCGTACCTGTGTTAACAACAAACTCGCCATTATGCAGACAAGGCACTAGCAAAGCCCACAAGTAAGGTTGCAGGCAAGAAATAGATCTAGTTTCAAGTTAATATAGGGTAATCTGGCATCAAGCTAACATTCTAAAATCACTCGCATTGCACGTAGTAGCTAACAATCCCATGCATGTAGTTACACTGAAGATAAAATGGTAGTATTAATTCCTTTTCATTTATACCGTCAACAAGCAAAAAAAAATGCTTCAGTGCTAGCTAAAGTACATGGAATTGTAAAGTGTGCTTTCTGGAAATCTGTAGCGGTTGGTTGCCTAGTTGCAACAATAAATGCTGAGGTAGCGATAAGTGTCAAATCGGTCTTGAAGGCACTACATTGAGAAAGCACGTACTAAAAGAATGAAAATCGTTTATAGAAATGTCTAGAGTGTACATAAAATGACATGGCTTTGTTTCATCGCAATTCTAAAAGCCAGTGCTTGGTGCATTGTGGTTGGCACCAATGTCTCAATCTTTTTTTTTTTCTTTCTTTTTTGTGTGTGTGTGGAAACATATACGTGAAAATTTATGAATTTACAATGAACACGAAAGAACATTTCCCACTGCAGTGTGCAGCTAGCGGGGAAAAAAAAGTGGTAGCTGCACATGCAGTGTAGTGGTCTGGTACAAAAAAATGATGTGGGTATGATAGCGATGGTCGACCAAAAACATCTTTTTATTTATTTACTAAAAAATGATAAACACTCTTTGGGGCAAAAACGTGCATTGGCGAACCCATAAGACTGCTCGAAGCCATTTGAAAATGATGCCGGAAACCATGCCTCTCGACAAATGCCTCGTTTCCTGTTGTAGTTTCTGCATTTATGCATTTTTTATAACAAATATGGCTAGCTCTGTTAAATTTTTTTTCTATCACTTCCATCGGCTTTTATTTCAGTTTTTTTCCTCCCGAGATTCTTTTGTAGTGTAGTCAGTGGTTTATGTGTTGAGCACTTTCCGCGTGCATTTTTCCACATAAAAGCGCATCTTTTTCAATCAGTTTTCAGAGAATTCGAAAAACTTTATATACCTTTTCTAGAAGACTATCCAACCGATTGCACTGAAATTTGCTCGATCACGCATAAATATTTTCAAAATATAGCCTCACCCTAAAGCTTTGACGAACTGTTAAAATCAGAGGAAAAAAAAAAGATTTGAGTAAGAGACTGTTCTTATAGCTACAGGTTAATGCTACTACCACGTGGAATTAGTGTGCTGAATTTCATGGTCATAAAGTTTTTTTTTTTTTGTTTCTGAGAAGAAGTTTGTACACTCCGGCCTAAATTTGGGGGTCCAAAAACAAAACTATAATATATATATATATATATATATATATATATATATATATATATATATATATATATATATATATATATATATGTGGAGAGAGAGATAGAGAGCCACAAAGTAAAAATTACTTTAGGTTAAAGCCGGAACCTTTTCACTGATCATACAAAATTTCACAATAAAATACGAACAGTTTCTCAAGTACACTGAACCCAAAATCACCTGTTCATCCTGGATTATTAGCGCTTTATTAGGTTGGTTGTGTATACACTTCAATTACCCAAAGTCTTGCAGCACTCGGCACTCACCAGGTCAAACAAAACAAACTTCTCTGAAAATAATCACGAACAAGTTGGACAGGATGTGCAAAACTACAGATCAATTAGAGTTCAATGGCCATTACCAGGTGATCAAAAGTAACCCATAGTAGACTACTAATTTCTTCAAGGCTTTTTTTCTTTCACACACTGTAGAACGTCAACACATAAGACGCTACAAATCAGTCAGAACAACATTACATCAACAAGGCCTTCATGGGATGTAGGGCACTTACTAATTGAACACAAGGTTTGCACCGTGTAGCACCAAAAGTCTCTTTTTCATTTGTGTGAAAAAATAATTTCTTAAAGCTACATAACATTGCATTTTGCTAGCTAAGTGTGGTGCAGTCACCCCAAGGTGCAGCTTGCCTGGCTGCATCCGATCACACAATCCTCGAGATCGAACCAGCCATACTTCAAACTACATGATTCTGATTATGATAGTTGAATAGGATGCAACAAAAATGAATCACATTAGAGGCCTGCGTTCAGGTAGTCCGACATGTGATTCCCGCTTCACGATGGCCTAAGAACGATGAACAAAACCGGATCACACCGAAGCCTGACTTCATTATTCGTCATCACAAACCGTACTCATGGTCACTATAAGCAGCTGTTACACGCAGCCATAAAACCTTTGTGCCATATCAGCTAATGACAATGAGAAATGAAAAAGAAAATATTACTTAATACAGCCCCAAATCTGCTATAGTTGGTATGATGATGTACTAACTTGTAGACTGTGCTCAGACATAGGATGTCTTATGGCCATGTGTGGAAAAGCACTGGGAACTTTCATGGCAAGACATGTAGCAAATAATAGCAACATGCTGAAGGAAGTGGAGCTGATAACTGATTATAGAAAGTTATAAAGAAAAATAAGCGTGCAACTATGACAGTGGTAGCAGTCAGATATGAAGGCCGTTTCGTGGTAACGCCGCGATGCTTTGGATGTTTTAGTTTGGGATCACTTGGCAGTATCAGGCGCAAACTGGTCACTGACTGCACAAAGGCCAGTATAGTGTTGCGATAATAAGAGAGCCCCTAAACTGTATAGAGCTTAAATGCGTTTTTTTTTCCTCGTCTTCCCTACCATCCCCGAAGATGTTCATGCCTTTGACTACGCACTTCTGCTGGGATCATGTCAAAGCTACGTTCAGGAACCCCAGTCAAAAATTTCTGAAGCACTCCGCTATTGCGTGCCTCATCACATTGTGGTTTTGGGGCATGAAACTCCAGATATATTAATAATCGCCAGTCACACTGATTCAAAGGCTCCAATGATTTACAGCAACGAAAACCCCACTCTTTTTGGCTGCCCACTGTACCCACACTGCATAAGCTTCGTTGAACGTGCTTACACAGTGTGAAATGATGTGGTTGCACAGAACAGCCGAGCAATATGATGAAGACTGGATGTGCGAGTGTGGGGCAAAGGCGTGTGTTAGACGTCAGTACTGACATCCCTAATCCACAGGTGGGTCAATGGCTTTTACCTCAGCGACGTGTACTTGACCCTGTGAGCTTCACATGTGAAAAGGGGGCCCAATAATCTCGGACAAAAACACGTATTGAAAAAAGTACATTTGGGGTTTGACCAAGCTGCATTGCTCGATCGTGGTCACGAAAGATGTTTGTCACGGCTGTCTGCACACACTGCGTAACTTGTTCCAAAAAAAACCTGCCATGGTCTGGTTATGGTGACTGACTGCTGAACCTAAGGTCTCGGGACTGAATCTTGGCCACAGTGGCCACGTTTCAATGGAGGCGAAATGTTGATCACTCATGTGCTTAAATGTAGGCACAGGTCAACGAACTCACTCATGAGTTGACTCACTCGGACTCTCTCAGTCTCGGATCGAGCCGCGAGTCCGAATCTGAGAGAGCCAAGATGAGTAATATTTTGGCGAGTCCGAGTGGGTCCAGTTGAAGAAAAATGTCCGTGAATGTGAGCTCGGCTCGGGAATTTGGTGAGTTCAAGTGAGTCCAAAGAAGAAGATGCATTTCTTAAGTGCGTCTGAGTGAGTTCTATTTTCTTTTGCTGACCTATGGATTTAGGCGCGTGCCAAAGAACACCAGGTGGTCAAAATTTTTGTCACCTTCTCTCACAATCATGTCGTGGTTTTGAGAGTTCATCCCCCCCCAACAGTCACTATATTACAGCAGATTTTCATTAAATGGACCCTGTAGGGACCACGAAAATATGTTCCGTTTAACAGGAGCTCCGTTTACGGATCAATCAAGAAGTGTGCAGAGTACTAGCCTGACACCAATCATATTAGAGGAAGTTGTCGCATTTGAGCAGCATTTCTATTTAAGAGATTTCCCTTTGCTTAGTCTACTGTATTCTAGTTAAGATATGTGACACATTTGAGAGGCTTTTTAAGGCCTTGAATGAGGACCCTGAGTTACTGTGTGGCAATGAATGTTGACCTTAGTTTGACGTCTATCGGTGCACCTGGTGGCTGGTCTATGCAGATGACTGTGCCGAAGAATGAAAATAACGTTGCACGAAACAGTCACCGCACTTTTTGCATGTTTCATGCAGTGTAAGGCATGCAAAAGCAGCAGCAAGGAAGTACAAAAGCATTCAGCAAACAAATCAAGCCAGCGTACAACAGTGTCCAAAAAAGTGGTGAGGATGATGAGTGATGGTGAATATCAGGGTCCCACAATGGGGGAATGGTGAGACAGTCGCACTCTTCCACTACGCTGATGCCACACGACTGGGCGTTTCACGCAAAAGCTCTTCTTCGGGGGAAGTGGTTCCTGTAGAGAAATACGGAGTTGGCAACTTTTTTTTTCCTTGGCCCTTTAATTTCATGTGGTTCACAGGGCGAGGTGTGGTTTGTGCGTCTGCATTGAGAACAAACTGGCAACTATCGTTGCAAATGACGAGTACTTATTTCTTATCCACTGTTTGCATTGCACTCAAAAGACCACAAAAAGCAGATTACGTATTTTTCTGTGATGCAAAGTATAATCAACTGTAGAAGGGAAAAAAAAAATGAGCCCTACGTGAAAAAGTACCAGCTGGTTAAAACAATCTGTGCCAATGGTCAAATTTCAGCTTAAGGTGCTTGTAATCAGGAAATCAATGGTAGAAGTCAATTTACACACTAACTTCAATGCAGTTAGAGAGTACATGCGGAGAGCAAGCAACAATTAATTCAGACCACAGAAAGTAATAATATGCAGTGAGTAGCAACAGCTGATCGATAACCAACAAAAAAATATATGGTCATGCACAATATGCAAAACAATCTCTTGATTGGCAAATGTCCCTATGTGCAGAGTAGTATGATTGCACAAATTGACTGCAGCTATCACAAAGCGATAATCGTTGAGCCAGCGGTTAGGCTCTGACTGAAGGCACGTACATTCGTAATTCCAAATTTTGACTAGTAATTGTCATGGCATGTGCGTCTACAATGTATGAAATGTACGATCTTGTATGTATGGCTGTATGATTGTTGTGCGAAAGAGGTGGTACGGCAGCTTCAAGCAACCCTGTTTTAAAGCGCTGCACATTCTAACTAACACTTAGCTAAATAGTTAAGAAACGTAGCCTTGAGCCATAAACGAGTGTTGCCATGTAAACCATCACACAAGATGTGCAAATAGACAGAACAACAGCCATAATTATAGTGCCTTCAATAATCTCAACTTCGTCTATTAAAGATGGTATGTTGTGCTAAGTACTAAGTGGCACAGGAAAGCTGAGTGATACATACAAAGCGATACAAGGTGTTGCCACATCCGGCTTTGCTTAGTATGTTGAACTAACCCAACAACTTGTGCTCAAGAGTGTTATGGTTCATTGTACATACTTGCTTAGCTAGCTTGGTCACTGTTTAACAGTTATCATTACTAGTAATACTATTAGCAAAGTCAGCTAAGACATCTAGCATTGTGCAGAAAGACAACCACCACAGCCGATAATACCACGAGAGAGGTAGCGAGGTTTTAGCACACTATATACCACAGCTGTAAGTCGTAACCAAAATTAAAGAACATGTAGCACATAAAACCAGCACCCAACTAGATAAAGCTTAAGTAACAGTGATGATACCCAGTATTAGTATCCATGTGCATCATTGCAGGGGCTCTTTCATCACGAGTGTTGTTAAATAAAGCTCCACTGGGACATTAACCACTGTATGCGTGATATCCCAGTCTGTTCACAGCAGTACAAGGGTTGTGGAATGACTTAGCACATGTAGTCTTTCCTAATTTCTCGTTAAAGAATGTTTTTCAATGTTACTGGCCTTGCCTAACCCTTTTTTCACTATAAATAAGGCAGCATATAAGTTGCGAAAACCTCCAGCCAAGTGAAAGTACTATGTAACGCATTAACGTACGTGCCAGAGATTTAGGATAGAGTGGAAAATAAAATGATGAGAAAACTGTTCAAGCACTATGCGTCAATCTTGGTAGTGTACGTGGTACAGCAAACAACCTACCAAAGACATCCAAGTTGCCTACTGGAACCCTAGTAGTAAAGCTTTCAGAGTGATAAGCAGTGTTTGTATGGCCGGCGTACCATTGCCACTTTTTTCGAGTTATTTACTAGGGAACATTCAACAAATGTTTAGGAATATAAAGCTTTGACAGCTGTTTAGATAAAGCCAAATGCAGGAAATATAGCATCCCACATTTACCAATTTTTGCAGCCTGACTTTGCTTTTTGAGCTGTGCTGTTGGTGGTGTAAGCACCGAGCAACATTGAGCTGTTGGCTGTGTAATCTAAGCCCTACAGTGCCTCTGCCATACTGCCAGGACTTAATCTCGATAAGAGTCATGGCTAAGCAATCTAAGTCCTACAGTGCCTCTGCCATACTGCCAGGACTTAATCTCGATAACAGTCATGGCTAAGCAATCTAAGTCCTACAGTGCCTCTGCCATACTGCCAGAACTGAATTTCGATAACAGTAGTGGTGAAAGCAAAACAGTGTGCACGCACACTGTCCGCTTGGGCTTTGCTGTCACAGGCATCGGTCCTACCAAACAAAAGCTCTTAACGCGGCAACCAACATAGCACTGCTGTACCATCCCATCTGCTCTGCTGCTGCCCTTTTTACAAACATGAATTGGAATGGGCCAGTTTGCCAAGCTTCGTGGCAATGGGCAGCCGCGTTGTGATGAGTCACGAGCCATTTTAGGGCTGGCAGTTAACCAGCGGATGCCGCTTAGGGCACACCGACATCGTGAAACCTGCTTTTTGAGTTTGGGGGTCGATCCATTTGGTAAGTTGGTCTGATAGGCGTCTCTGTACCTCCCTCAGTCGGCTTGACCATGTACTTGCTGTTGAACAGTGGTGCGATGCCCCAGGCCTGCATGCAAGTACAGAAAGAGGTTAGTCAGATGTGAAGCATAGTTGCAAGCAGCGTTTCGCATGGCTGTTAAACAAGAGAAACTAGAACGTGTTGCTGGGCTAGTTGGTTCATACTGAAGAAGTATTAAGAATGCAAGCTGTCCTTAATATTTCTTCTTAAGCTGCAAAAGCATGCAAGTGAAACATATGTAACAAGGAAACTAGACGCAAACCACTGGGTAAGAATAGGCGAAAGGAAAAACCGTCCACACGTATTTTTCCAGAACAGCTGTACTGTGAGAATATATCCATCCAGACAAAAACAAACGAGTACAGGGAATGGTGAAGAAGACTGGAAAGCTTTCCTGTTTCCTGTGTTTGTCCATTTTTGGCTGGATATATGTGTCCTCAATACAGTGCACGACTGGCCCAACATCATGTCATAAACAGTTGTGCTCTTTGGGACATAATCTGGTCACACACAAGAATTGTTGTCCGACTTGCTAGCGTTTCCTTTTTATTAAATAAACAGCGTCGCCCTCTGCTCGCCCTTTGAATATGCTACAGTCGAAGCTCTTTATAAGAGACACTGATATAAGAGACAAATGGGTATAAGAGACACCAGTAAGCCGACAGTAAAATACAGGGGATAGGAAAATGCATACAAGGTTGCCTGCTTATAAGAGACGTCTCATAGAAAAGACAAGATCGCTGCTCGGAGCATGCCTCTTATAGAGGGGTTTAACTGTATAACACGCTTACAGCCTGTGTTGTGTATCAGCGAGAAAACGTAATCAAAATACTAATCATTATCGTTTGTTAGAAGTGTGCCAGAAAGTGCAACTGTTTTGTAGGCACACATATCTAGGCGAAACCTAGAACACTACTAACTGTTAATTAGGCCGTCAGGTGTTGCTATATATTGCTCTGTAGTGCATAGAACACATTAAAGAAGTGTACAGATGTGCCGGGCAACTCTGATTCACTAACTACGAATTAATGACTTTGGCAGAGCCGTAATAGATTCAATCTTAGACTCAGAGTTGCCATGACTGAGAATGACTAGGTTTCAAATATTTCAAGCCGACAGCTGATCTCAATAATGTGCAAAGCTGGAGCAAAGCAAGTTAAATTTCACGTCCTAGGGCATACTGTCAGCATAAGGCATGAGAACTCGTGTAATAACAGCAGGCCAAATCCCTCAGACCCCTGTGCATACAAAGAAACTGCCTGTTTGTTCATGACATTCCATTTTTGCTTATCATATACATAAAACCTTAAAACATAGAACATAACAATAAAACCTTGCTATTGATTTTTGTTCATACTTAAGGGCTAATGAAGAGAAAGTTGTATTAGCAAATTGCACTTTTATGACACATCAGATTTTCTGTGAGATAATGCTTGGAAAGGAAGAAAATGCACAAAAAGCAATTGACAATGACTTTTATTTTCGCATCAATACATTGATTGATACGAAGGGGCGGGCGAGAAAAGCTGTCGTTCAGACGGCTTGACGATGCCGCTGGCCCCCTCACTGGTGCGTAACAGCAGTGATGCATTAACAATATACCAACATAATTCAGGAATATCTAACACAAGACATATATAAAAAGTGCAATAATCTATAATTCTACAAAGTTGCAATCCTTTAAAGGCAAAGAAGAAAAATAAAAAAATGCAATATAATAACATTGCTCACATGTAGCCTTGGTTATTGTAGAACACCAAAGAAAAAAAGAAAGAAAAAAAAACATGCACGTGTGGCAAGATTTAGAAGTGAGAGGAATTAGAAGAATGTTTTTCAAGGACATCTGTCTTGAGTTCAAAATAACTGCGCATAGCTTTAAAAGACATGCTCTCAAATTATAGCCCTTCGCAAATTAATCTGTTTAATAATCTTGGTAAGTTATTTCCTAGTGTTTGTTTTCCATGTGTTGTTTGCACTGTTGGTATTTTCCAGTATTCCCTTTTATGTGTGGCATATACGAAGGGGTTGTATATATACGTGTTGCATATACGGGTGGCAAAGCCACTTACACACCAGTACCTGCGACTGCTTTGATTTCCATGGCACCTGCTAGGGCCTAGGAAGTTCCTAGGAAGTTCCCAGTCAATAAAAGCGAAGTACATTGTCTTAGCTTACGAAGCTTATAGAAATTTCATCGAGTCAATGTCACGAAAACACGAAAAAAAAAACACTGAAATCCGTGACATTCCCATCCGACATTTCAGTGGGAAATTTAGAAGATAAACTTTTGACACTGATTTTGTCATCTATTAATGAACCTATGTTGCTGAAAATAATGGCAGTAGAGTTTTTACAGTGTAATTTATCGGACTTATCGGTTTCTATTTAGTACCCCTTTAATCGTGAAAGTGAGTCGGCTGTTTGTTATTCGCAGGGTATCCAGTGTTTCATTCTACTTGGCCTAAAGGATTACTATTCTTCGATCCCTAATACTAACACAATTAAAGCTATGCGTCATTGTTTCAAGGCCGAGCTCGAAGCTAACCGCTAGATAATGTCGCTTACTCTTGAGCGTAGACATGCAGGGTTGGTGCACGTATTGCCACGCACGTTGCTCGTGATGTGCCGCTCACATTAGTGTAAACGTGCTTGTGCGGCAATATGGCACCACTATTCTGTTCAGCTACCACCTGTTTTATGTAAAATGGGCCAATTCTATGCAAACCCCATGTGTGATGCATTGAGTGATGCATTGTGTGCCTTATGAAAGCAAGGTAAAGCCCATTGTCTAGAACAGCATATAGACAAGGGGGCTAACAATGGAGAGTAGACATATGCAATAGTGTGTCTACGTTCCAGATGACCATGAATGACAAACGGAGTCTGAATCACCACCTGCATGGAGTCCTTTATCTCTTGTGAATAGAAGAGCTGATTTTACTAAAAGCGTTTGTACCGAAGCATTTGTACTTGCACCAACATTCCTGCCTGATAAGTTAGTTTTATTGAGTGACGTAGGTTTTGAAATGCAAGCCTTTGAAAAATTTGATTGATTGATTGATTTGTGGGGTTTAACGTCCCAAAACCACTATATGATTATGAGAGACGCCGTAGTGGAGGGCTCCGGAAATTTAGACCGCCTTTGAAAAATTTAAACAAAACAAACGTGCCTTAGGAATGTGACAGTTTTCAATTTTCTTGTCTAAATATAAATCAAGACTTTTACAATTGAAAAGGTAATCAAGAAGTTTATGGACTTTCTGGCCGTAATTTCCATTGCTCAGTTGATATTACCAAGTAGCATTTCTCTATCTCTCTCTCTTGCTCACTCTCTCTTAGCATTAGTGCTGCGTTCGCAATTTTAGTGCTTACACAGCAATCTTGACCCTTTCCACGCTATGCAAGAGGCTCTGCTTATCCGCACGTTTTATGTAGAAATAGCTCCGAAGAAGCTCTGTTTACTGATGGTACATTTAATTTTCATGTACAGGGTTGTTAAGCTTCCTTTTTGCAATAAATAAAAGATTATGAATGAGTAACGACTGAACTTTTCTTTTTTGTAAGAGATCCAAACTTTTAAAAGGTAAATATTTTAAAGAAGCCAGGATAATGGCTTGGCATGAAAATAAGACATATTAAATAGTGTAAATAAAAGACTGTTGAATAAGTTGAATAAAATTACATAGTAATTCATTAAATAAACATTAGGCCATAATAATAGCATGGCATGCAGTAAGGTCGAATAGGAATATTGTCAGATTTTGACTTCGAGAAGGAATAAAATTGCAGGTGGCCAAATGTGTTCAATCTGTGCTTAGGTGATGAACCCGCGAAGAGAATTTGTAGTGGATGTGCCAAGTGCAGGCAGTTGACATTCCCACGTGCTTGGTGTGGCAGCACTTTCCTTTTGACATCAGTACATGAGACGAGTAGCGGTTAGTAGAGAATGTTAGTCGAGTCATGTTACTGTAAGGAAATTCAGCTGGTCATTAGGTAAATCCTACTGCAGATGAACCACTTGTGGGATACCAGATCATGTTAGTAGTTGTATTACACTGTCTGCGTGGAGAATGTTTACCACTGCTGTTACCCCCACGGCCATACTGGAGTTACAAATGAGCCAGTAGCAGGTTGCTGAGAAAGTGGAGCGATAAGTGTTGTGCAAGGTATAGAGCAAAGTGACCCAGTGCAAAGGTGACGACAGGGGTTTCCTCGTTTTCTGATATACTGTAAAATTTTGAGTAAGTGCTTCTCCTACGACAAAGAAAGATGCAACGATAATTGAAGGGGCCCCTAGCGCAGTTGCAGATGAAAATTCATTACAGCGGAGAAAGTGTCGCCTAAGAATAGAAGATGCACACCCGTGCTTCCGATTAAATGCTCTATTGAATATGCATGCATTCACTATTATTATTTGTCCTCGTCGGGTGAATAAAAACAATGAATGAAGCTGTGAAAGTGGCAAGAAAGGAAGAGGGGAGCAGTCACAGATTATCCGAAATTCGCAATTATCCCGAAAAATGGAGGAGGGTGCTTGCTCAAGTAAGGGGCGCTTGCTTGGATTTTGCAGTATGCATACTTATAAGCAATAAGTGAACTCTTCTGGAGCACCTGTTTCAAGCATGCCCTTGGCCTTGGCAAACAGCGATACTTCTCTGGCATTGTGAGAGATGCAGCCAAACCTCAAAGAAAGGAAACCTCACCTGTTATAAAGATAGCTTCACTTCGTTACATCTGATAATTCAATATCTTGCACTGTAATAGCAGTAAGACAATTTCTTTATTTACTTCATTACAATCAAGTTCATTATACATAACTGTGTGCCTCACCCCACAGAAACTCTTGTCACTGACTAAGACACGCGAGCTCCAGCAGTGGCGGTGCTGACACTACTGTTGTTTTCATTTTGGATTGTGTGACCCTGCACCACTTCAGTAGATGTGTGAGAAGATTGGGGCAGGCCTTTCTAGAGTGTGTACTCAAGTGTTTCCTATCGCTGTCACACAGATCTCACTATCTTATTAGCTGCAGGAAAGCAGTCTTTGGC